AAAAATTCAAAGAATGGACAATTCCTAAATAAAAATTTAAGGCTTATGAACATGCATATACCTTCGTGTAACTCGACCATCAAATGCCTATTATTGGCTTACCCGTTATATACTAAGATTAAATTGATAGTGCAAGGTACGCGCATACTCTTACATTAGTAGCCTAGCTCCTATATGAGAATGATATTCGATCAAAAGTCTATACAAATGAGAGTTTTTTTTTGTTTGACACTGGGATGTTTAAAACCAGAACCACCATCGCCACCGCCACTATCACCACCACCACCGCCACCACCCACCCACAAAAAAAAAAAGTAAAAAGGGAAAAGGAAAGGTAACGAGGTAATGCCCGTCGAAATTAAATGAGAGATGGTAACGTGGAATTTTGTTTTTTTTTGTTTTTTTTTTTCATTTTTTTTTTCTTTCATTTTTTTTTTTTTTTGGAATGCATTGAAATCATCTTGACCTGCATGATCGATGAGGAAATTAAAACAAAACTAAATTATCATGTAATCAATGAATCTTTAATCTATCTCATTTTCGAACTTCTTGCTTAACACCATTCTCCGATAGCATGAGATTTCGAGTGTCAGAGCTAGAACCATTTTGTTGCTGAGCTTGTGATTGCGATGAATTTTCACTTTCCTTTTTTTGTTGTTCGATTTCTGCTGCAGTGAGAAAACGACCACCTGGACCACGGGGGCGACGCATAGCATGTTTGTGACGAGACTCATGAAGATATTTCTATGATGCCAACACAAATGAGGAAAAATCAATATCTATGCTTTGATTAGTGTCAATTTCGATTTAACTGTAAATAAATTTTGCACACCTTTCTTCCTCTCTGTATTTTATTTTCGGCTTCCAATCTTGCCCTGGCCGCCCGTCTCTTCAAAATTCTGTGATACTGTTGTAAATTGTTAAATAGCCGGTTAATACTTTTAACATTAAAATTTAACTCCAAAAAACCCTGTATTACCTGTTTCGCGTTTACATAGAGTGGTTCTTCTTGTTCCTCTATGCCAGATGATGCTGCAGGGGGAGTGCTGACAGTACCAATAGCAAATGAAGGACTCATAATCTTATGTCGAACATATAATAATAGAAATCAAAATAATCAATAACGTATAATTTATTTAATTCAAATGTCATTTTTTTTGCTCTTATGCTCTTACCAGGCCATAAGGTTGGGTGTATGTAACGGCTTGAAAAGCGCTTGATGACTTTGAGTGCTCTGATTGAAGAGCCTGTAAAAATCAAAAGTAATTTTTAATAAAAATTATAAAAAAAAAAAAAAAACCAAAAAAACTCAGGTCAAAAAAACTACCAACCGGATCCACAACTACTGAAGTGTTTGAATGTGTCAAATTTGCATACGAAGCAGCAAGTTCATATTGCGGATGTCGATCTTGCTGATCTTGCTGTTGTTCCGTTTCCTGTGGTTGACCATTTGCTTGTGTTTCTGGATTTCTTTGCTCTTTGTTATCACCAGTTTGTTCTTTTATATCCATTTGTCTACGCTGTACGTAATTCTCAGAGAAATGTATACACGAAACAAGTAAAGTTTTATATAGCGGGATGAACCAGGACTACATTGTAGATTCGAGTAGTAATAGTTCAAAGTTATGGAAAGGTTCAATAACAATATTTATTAGGAAAGCGCGTGAGCAAACAGTCATTGCTTTATCGACTCCGAAAAGTCCAAGGAAAAAATTTTTTGACAAGTCAAGTCAGTGGACTGCTTGAGTTTACCTGCTTGTGTTGGTATTGGTGGTTTCTAGTGGTTTTCTAGTCCAATAAGAAGTGGAGTGTCAACGAGGAATGAAATGAAATAATTTTTACAATCGGTTGCTCTTGATTTGCTGAGGCTCAATCACTAGGTATATTTATAAGGCCATCTGTGAAATTTAATTAACCACAAATGGAATGTCACGTGATGAAA